AAGTCACTTAAACGGATTGCATACTCTGAAATAATCATAGTACCCTGGTGCAACTGCTCAAACTCCGCTCGCCATGCGTCCCTGAGGCTCTGAGGGACATACTCCCTCAAAAACATATCCGAGAATTGAGTCCATGTAAGGGAAGCTGCCTCAGCCGACTGTCCAACTCAAAAGTATGCCACCACTGATAAGTTGCCCCTCGAAACTAGAAGGTAGTGAAAGAAACCCCCACTCAACTCTGCTATGCCCATAGTGCGGAGAATACGGTGTCACTCTTTCAGAAATCCCTGAGCATCCCCTGATGCTAAACCACTTAATGTATGATGGTCGTACTTCTTGTACCTTTAAAGCATCTGATGCTCCTCATTTGAAGTTGCTGCCCTACCCTCAGTCTAAACTGGGGCTACAGGCGGCACCGGTATTACCTCTAGAATCTGATTAACCTGAACTCGCTGTTCTAGGGTGCGGGCGGCGGGAGTCTGTGCTCTTCCCCCGGTCTGAGATGTGGCTACAGCAAGGGGAATCAACCCTGCTTGAGCTAGAGTGTTGTACATGCTCATGAACTATGCAAGGGTCTACTGAAGAGCTGGAGCAGTAGTAGTAGGCATATCAGGTGCATGTGTTCCGGCTGGAGCTACTAGTGGCTCCTCTGTAGTAGCTTGCCCGGGTGCTCTGGCTGCACCACATGCGCTTCCTCGTCCTCTACCCCGTCCCTAACCTCTGGATGCTCTAGTAGGTGGCGGGGGTGCCTGGTCATCTCCGGTAGCACGTGTCCTCACCATCTGTGAGAGAATAGAAGACAGAAGTTTAGAGTTTCGAAGTTAGTAATCTCGCACGACAAGGAATCAAATGAAGTCGAATTTTCCTAACAATTCATAGCCTCCCGAAGATAAGTACAGACGTCTCCGTACCGATCCGCGAGACTCTAATAAACCGGCTTGTGACCCACGACTCCTATGAACCTAGAGCTCTGATACCAACTTGTCACGACCCTAGTTCTCCCTCCGTGAACCGTCGTGATGGAACCTAGTCACTACGACTAGGTAAGCCTAACATTTGCGGATTAAGGAACAAAAACGTAAAAGCTATCAACTAATAAGTAAATTTAAATAAGGAAATGCGATGCCAATCGGCATATACAATAATCACTTTCGAATAGTACATAAACTTTCTCAAAACCCGGAATGTCATAAGTCACAAGAAAATACTACTCCCATACTCTAAAGTCTAATAAAAGAAGAAAATACAAGAAGGTTTGACATAGGGTGGAATAGATAGGGACTTCGAGGTCTGCGGACGCGGTAGATATACCTTGAAGTCTCTATAGTCATTTTGTCTCACTGGTAATGCAACTGATGTGAGGTACCCGGATTTGCACATGAAAAACATGTGCAGGAAAGGGCATGAGTACACCACAACAGTACCCAGTAAATGCCAAGCCTAACTTCGATCGAGTAGTGACGAGATCAGGTCAGGGCCCTACTGATATAAATATAACGAAATAAGACAAAAGAATATTGAAGTAAAATAAATACGGAAATCTAATACGAATAGAACTCAATAAAAGCTAATAGCTCAGAACACAGTAATAGTAACAAGGGATCTCCCGGAATAATGTCCCATAGTCCCGAACAAAAATATGCAGGGGGATCTCCCGGAATACTATTCCGTAGTCCCAAAGTAAATATACAGTGTTTGGAGGATCTCCCGGAATACCATTTCGTAGTCCCAAAGTAAATATACAGTGTTTGGAGGATCTCCCGGAATACCATTTCGTAGTCCCAAAGTAAATATGCAGTACAGGGGGATCTCCCGAAATATCCTTCTGTAGTCCCAAAATAAATATGCAGCTCAACCAACAGAGATAACAGATTACAACAAGAAAACCACAATTTTGTCCAAGTCCGAGTCAAAGAAGAATAGGAAATTTCATTAAAACATGTTGCACAGTGTTCAGATAGACAGTTAAGGCACGTAAGCATGCTTTCCTAAACTAAACAGGATAGTTCAATATGCAAATGTTACTCAATTAAAGGAAAAATAGATAGTTGCTTAATGAAATGGGTTTTTCAACAAATAGCACGTGTACGCACTCGTCACCTCACGTACACGGCGTTCACATATCAAACAGTACCAAATCTTAAGGGGAGTTCCCTCACACAAGGTTAAACAAGTCACTTACCTCAAACTCAAGGCCACTCAAAGCTCAATCACAACTTTGCCTTTCAAACACACCTCCGAACCAACAATATCTAGCAAATTACCACTCAAACGTTTCAAAATAAGCCTTAGGAATCACCCACGATAACAAAGGACTCAATTTAGGTCATTATTAAAAAAGTCAAGAAAAGTCAACACCCGGGCCCGCTTGGTCCAAACTCTAAATTCGAACCAAAACTCAATTACGCATTCACCCCCCGAGTCTAGATATACAATTAGTTTTAGAATTCGGCCTCAATTTGAGGTCTAAATCCCCAATTTTCGAAATCCCTAATTTCTACCCAAATATCCCCAATTCCACCATGAAAACCTTAGATTCTAGGGTTGTAAAATAAAGTGAAAGATTGAAAGAAGCTAGTTAAGAATCACTTAACTATGATTTGGGAAGAAGGAGTCTTTGGAAAATCGCTCTTGTGTTCTAGGTTTTGAAAATTTGAAGAACGAATGAAAAATCTCGTTCATGTCTCATTTACCCAACTACAGATGTCGCAAATGCGACTTGGGCTTCGCAAATGCGAGAAATTCATCGCATTTGCAAAGATTCCCATAGTCCTGCCTTTTTCGCAAATGCGAACTAAGCTGGTCGCAAATGCGATGAAAGGATCGCAATTGCGAAGGTTGCCTCCCCATATCCCTATCGCAAATGCGAAGGAATGTTCGCATTTGCGAACATGAGCTGGCCCAGCTTCTCTTCGCATTTGCGATGAGAAGCTCACAATGGTGAAATCTTCAGAGATCGCAAATGTGATGATTAACCTCGCATTTGCGAGGTCTGAGGCCTGCAACAAAAACCAACAGTGTTCTAAGTCTTGTTTTCACTCCGTAACCTATCTGAAACTCACCTGAGCCCTCAGAGCTCCAAACAAAATATGCACACAAGTCTTAAAAGATCATACGAACTTGCTCACGTGATCAATTCGCCAAAATAACACCTAGAACCACAAATTTAGCACCAAATCAAATGAAATTCTCAAGAACACTTTGAAATTTCTATTTTCTCAACTAAATGTCTGAATCACGTCAAACCAATTCTATTTTTCATCAAATTTCATAGACAAGTCTTAAGTATTATAGTGAACTTATACCGAGCTCCGGAACCAAAATACGAACTCGATACTGACAAGATCAAACATTAAGAATTTCGTAAAAATCATTGAATTTTCAGACTCACAATTTTCAACAAAAATTCATAACTCGAGCTAGGGACCTCCGATTCCGATTCCGATTCCGGGCATACGCTCAGGTCCCATATTTTAATATGGACCCACCGGGACTGTCAAAATACGAATTCAGGTTCGTTTACCAAAAATATTGACCGAAGTCAACTCAAATGAAGTTTTTAAATCAAAAATTATTATTTTTATCAACTTTAAACACAAAAGGTTTCCGGAAATACGCCCTGACTGTGCACGTAAACCAAAAAGAAATAAAAAAAAGGTTTTTAATGTTTCAAAATACAGATTTTGATTTTAATTCATAAAGTGACCTTTCGGATCATCGCACTTTTTTTAAAGATAAAATAACTTGTTGGAAACAAGTCAATGCTCTTTGGTGTCTGAAGTCCTGGATGCTTCTATTAAATTCATATATGTGGAACATCCAAAAGAAATCAAAAAATATTACTTTAAGATAAAAAAAAATTAAGAATATTGGAGTGATATTCATCGTCAAAGTAAAAATAAGGTATATCGCACAACAGAAAATATTAATTGATACTGACTTTTAACCAAACAAATTATCTTAAGAATAGTCTCAACTTATCAAAAAGAAGGAAAATACCTCATGCATCAAACCCTGACCCAATGTCACACATTCTTATGTTATTTAAAAACTTCTAAATAATTATTAGAAAAATTAATTTTACGTACATTCACCACTTAAGGAATTCTCCAATAGGGAGAGTCAATCTCAGAATGTTGAAAATATATATAGTCTAAGGCGATTTTCATTAACATTTACTGAAGGTGCATAGGTTCTTGAATGTTATGTTAATTGACTACTACATCTCGGAACGGGACTGATCCCGAAAGAGGGTCTCTTCATTCACTGACTACAGCTCAAGATTAAATCCATCAATAACATGGTCTCCTGATAAGTTAATGTATAAAATAAAAGAGTATCAGTAACGACATATACAAATTGACTCATGAAATCCTAAAGATTTGACAAGCACAAATATGTCACCAGCCAAGCACGTATCGTGCACGGCCAGTAACCATATATCTCGTTTATGGACTACTATCAAATTCGAAATAGTTTAAACATAAAATTTGAGAACATGTCATGCCCCTTTTTCTTAATAACCACGTCAATTTAACCATGAAATGAAAAAATATCGGCCCCAATTTTATTTTTTATTTTTTTTTGTAGAGATTAATAACTTTTGTATTCGACGTTTTGTTTACTTTCAAGATAGAACACCTTATCACCCAAAACAGGAAGTTTATGGAGCCAAAATCTATACTATTTTTTTCTTTTTGAAATGAATTTTGGTGTTAATTACTCCTTTAGTCCCAATAAAAAAAATGACGTTTGCAATTTGAGTGCTATAAAAATCATACATTGGCTCTTTATACTTTTAAAAGTAAAATTTACATATTTAACAAATGCAAGAAAAAGTCATCTAAGTCAATACAAGGAAAAATGATCATTTAAGTCACAATTTTTAATTCTCATACAATAGAAAAATGTATCGAGTCAAAGTATTTTACAACAATAAACTAATTCTCATACAATAGAAAAATGTATACGAATAACTCAATTTCCCATATTATCGAGTCAAAAATGTTACAATTAAAATAAGTTCTCAAATGATAATACAACATCAAATAAAAAATATAACATGACCTTGACTTTAAATAAGTTCAATATAAAAAGACATGGTCCATATTATAGGAATTTGAGGTGAAGAATTTGAAATCTTGGTGGTTAAAGTTAAGCTGCTTTAGCCAAGAATCAGCAGCACTATAAAGATCATTGAATTTTTCATAGGCTTGTGTTTTATTTAACCAAATGTCATCTTGCATCTTGTATGGTACAAGCCCAAAAGGTGGAAGAGGAATTCCACCTTTTTCTTTCTTTTCAATAGGAAGATCTTTACATATGTCATCATCAAAGTCATCTGCGATATAATTTATAATAATTAAAATTTATATATACTGATTTAAGTACGAAAAAAAAACTAAAATTTGACAAGCACATATATGTCCCTGACCAAGCAGATAACGTGCACGACCAAGAACCAGAGTTTATTATTATCATGATAAAAAAAAATTATATTTACGCGAATAGCAAAATTGAAAGATGTACCTTGAAATGATGCTGATAATGTATGATAAGTAAGGAAGTATGTCGATATATTTTTGGTAATTCCCTTCATTGGTACATGGTAGATTGGGTACCTAACAATAAAATTAGAGAAAATTAACTCAAATTTTCTGAATTGAATAAATAGATGAATAATGAAGAGAATTTTTTCCTTAATAATAATTTCTAGAAAAAAATTATCGTTAACATCAATTCCAAATTTCTATATGATACTGAATTGCTAAATTTTATTTCTACGTGAAAAAAATAAATTTAATTATTTCATCAATGCATTATAGGAATTTCACTTGAAATTATTACAAAGGTAAAAATAGGAAGAAGAAAAAAATACCAAGCAACAGCCATCCAACTTGCAGGAGACAAGTCAACGCTCTTCAGTGTCTGAAGTCCTGGATGCTTCTCACTAAATTCATATATCTGAAACATCCAAAAGAAACAGAAAATATTATTTTAAAATACAAAATTAAGAATATTGAGTGATTATTAAAAATATATTCTTTTCAAAAATAGTCTCAACTTATCAAAAAGAAGGAAAACCTCTCGTTCATCAAACCCTAACTTAACGTCCCACATTCTCATGTTATTTAAAAACTTCTAACTAATTATTAGAAAAATTAAGTTTACACACCTTCTCGACCAAGGGAATTCTCCAACACGGAGAGGCAATTTCAGAATGTTGAAAATACATATAGCCAAGGCGATTTTCGTTAACATTCATTGAAGATGCATAGCTTCTTTGAACGTTTTGTTGATTAACTACTACATCTCGGGATGAGACTGATCCCGAAAGAGGATCTCTTGAACCCTCCGCAGGCTCAAAAGTGGAGTCTGTTGAGTTATTGCTGGAAGTCCTTGAGAGTTTTTCACTACCACTTACTTCACTCACTGACTCCAGCTCAAGATCAAGTCCATCAATAGCATGGTTTTCTGATAAGTTTCTGCAGAAAATGAAAGAGTATCAGTAATGACATATCACTATTATATATTGATTCACGAAAATCTAAAGATTTGGCTAGCACAAATATGTCACCAACCAAGCACGTAACGTGCACGGGTCAGTAACCATACATCTTGTTTATGGACTACTATCAAATTTTAAATAGTTAAATATAAATAAAATATCAAAAATAAATACTTATTGGCCCCAAGAACGAAAAAGGAATTGTAGAAAATTAATCCAACCATTGCAAAATAAAAGTTATCTCGATTTTGGTTTGTTATATTAATGTAACAACCCGATCGGTCGTTTTGAGAATTAGCATACCGTTTGGTGGCTTAAGATCTTGAGTAGCTTCGTATTATATATCACGACTTACGTGTGTGTTCGGGTTCAGTTTTCGGATGATTCGGGATTGATTTGGAAGAATGATTTTTGTTTTAGAAGCTTAAGTGGACAGAGTTGACCGAAGTTTGACTTTTGTATAGACGACTTCGGAATGGTGTTTTCATGATTTCAATAACTTCGTATGGTGATTTTGGACATAGGCGTAAACCTGGATTTGGATTTCAATAGCTTCGTATCGGATTCAGATTATGATTTCGGGAGTTGGTATAGCTCCGTTGTGTTATTTAGAAATTGCATGTAAATTTTGATGATCTCATTTAGAATTAGTTTGATATGTTTCGGCGTTAGCTTTAGAAGTTGGAAGCTCATTAGTTCCTTAGGCTTGAATCGATGTGAAATTCGTGGTTTTATTATTGTTCGATGTGATTTGAGGTTTCGATCGAGTTCATATTGTGTTATGGGACTTGTTGGTATATTTATGCAGGCCCCGACAGCCTCGGGTGTATTTCGGATAGCTACAGGCCACTTCTCTTTGATTTGGATAGATGTTTTGTCATCTGGTGTCTTCTTAATCGCGTTTGCGCCTGTTCCTTCGTGTTCGCGTAGTGTTATTGTGGACTCATGTGTATTGTAGCCATCGCATTCGAGAGATGCTACGCGAGCGCGTAGAAGGAAGACTGGGAGCAGTCATCAGGGATTTTGGTCTCAGCGTTCGCGTATGGAGCAATGCATTTGCGATACTTACTAGAGATTAGGGGCGGACCCACGTAGGGTCAAGCGGATTCATATGAATCCGCTTCGTTAAAAAATAACACTGCGTATATAGGTATATTTTACCTTTCTTCAAGAAAATGTTGTTATATAATGTTTGTTGACCCCGTTTAGCACAAAGGTATTGTCTAGCCCATTGGTAAAGTGGATTCAAGTTTTCTGGGATGTCCAGAGTTCGAACCCAGTCAGCTACGCATGGTGTTTTCCCAGCTATATACAGCACTTTTTCCCCTATGTTCTCTGCATCATTTTAACAATTCATTTTGTTGACGCTTTTGTATATTTATTTTTTTGTATTTTGAACCTGCATGGTAAAAATCCTAGGTCCGCCACTGCTGGAGATTGTATTCCGCGTTCGCACAAGTGCTGACACGTTCGCGTAGAACATATTTGGCAGCTTATATTTTTGTGCTTCGCGATCGCGGAGCATGTTCCGCGATCGCAAAGAGGAACATGTGGGTAGACCTATATTTACTCTATTTCGACGGCTTTTGATATTTTATCACTTTTTGGGTCAGAGAGCTAGGTTTTGGACGATTTTGGAGGGAATTTTCATGTTTTAGATTGGGGTAAGTGTTCTTCACTCGGATTTGATTATATTTCATGATTCCATCTTTACTTTTATCATTAAATTAGTGATTTAAATTGGAAAAATTGAGGTTTATTGTAAAAACTTTCAAAATATAAAATAAGGATTTGAAATTCGATTTGATGTCGGAATTGGATAATGTTGGTATGGTTAGTGTAACAATCCGACCGGTCATTTTTCTTTCTAGAACCCCATACCCCTAAATAAGACTTCTCGTACTTGCTTTTACTGATTATGACTAGCGGGGATGGTTTGATCGGGATTTGAAAGAGTTTAGGTTAAAATTGGAACACTTGGTTCCTTAAGGTTGGCCTAAAAGGCCAAGTTTGACTTCGGTCAATATTTTGAGTAACCAACCTTAGAATCGGGATTTGACGGTTCCAATAGGTTTTTATGTTGATTTCGGACTTGGACATATATCCGAATTAGATTTTGGATGACCCGAGCATTTTGGCATCTAATAGTGAAAGTTGGTTCTTGAAGGTTTTTAAACGTTCTTTAAATTTGGTTTGGAGCGGGTTCTGGTAATATCGAGGTCCAAACAGAATTCTGAGACCGGGAATAATTCCATAATATCATTTAAGACTTGCACGCAAAATTTGGTGTCATTCCGATTAGTATAAGTACGTTTCGGCACATTGGAAGTAAATTGAAGAACTTGAAGTTCATAAATTGGATTCAATCGGTTTTAGGGTGTGATTCTTAGTTTTAATGTTTTTCTGGGCGTTCCGAGAGTTCGAGCGAGTCCATTAATTTTATGATTCCAAACTTGTTGGTAAGTTCGGGCGGGGCCCCGAGCGTCAATCGGACGAGGCCCGGACCAAGTTAAAAGTTGGAGCAAGAGCTAAAACTCCAGCTGCTGTCATAACCGCACTTGTGGTTGGTCAGCCGCAGGTGCAAGCTCGCAGGTGCGGGCCAAGCACCGCAGAAGCGGCCAAGGAAGGGCAGCCTAGGTGCCGCAGATGCGACTCCATTTTCGCAGAAGCGGGACCGCATGAGCAAGAGCCATCCGCAGAAGCGATCCCCAGCCGGCCCAGTCATGCTCGCAGAAGCGGACCCATGCTCGCAGAAGCGTGACCGCAGGTGCGAAAATCGTTGGGGCAATGCACTTCATTTAATACGGGACTTAGGCATTTTGATTCATTTTCACTCCATTGTTGGGCGATTTTTTGTGCTTCTTGAGAGGGATTTTCATCTAACTTTTGGAGGTAAGTAATTTCTACCATATGTGAGTTAAGTACTTAGATTATGGGTAGATTAACATGGATAAAATTGTGGAAATCATAGGTGTAGAGAAAAACCTAGGGTTTTGATAAAAATGGGATTTTACCACGAAAATGATCATGAAACTTAGTGAAAATCATATATTATGTTCCTTAGGTCATTGTAACAACTTCCTTCAAAATAATTCGGAATCCGGGCACGTGGGCCCGGGGGTGAATTTTAGGAATCTTGCCTTTAGGGTTGGGTAATAACTTTAATAGTTAGAATATAAACTTTTGAACCTATAATGATTGGTTTGTACACTATTTGAATAGTTTTGGATTGTTCGGATCCGGTTTAAGGGTTTGAGCGCATTCTTGAATTGGAAGTAGGCTTGAGACAAGGTAAGTCTCTTTTCTAATCTTGTAAGAGAAAAATTTCCCAATAGGTGAACTTAATTAATATGTGATTATTTGTGGGGGCTATGTACGCACGAGGTGACGAGAGTCCGTACGTAGCTACTATTTTTGTCATGTCCGGGTAGTTTTAGGTTTACACTATGCTTTGTGGTCACTATTATTTGATTATACGTGCTAATTGTAACAAAAGGAATCCATTTGAGGATTTCTAAGGATTTAAAGGCTTCAAATTGAATCGTCTTCATTTTTAAAAGAATCAAGAAAGGATTAGGATTTAAATGATAAAATTATACTTGACCGCATCGCACGTATGATCCGCGAGTGGGGTTATATTTTGACCGCATCACATGTATGATTCGCAAGCAGAGTGAATAGATGCATCTATGGTTTCCGCCATTCGACCATCGGCATTGCACAGTTTACTTTTCTGTTGAATCAGGCCGAACTTCCTCGCTGGTATTTGTGTGTGATAATAGAACTGAAGCTTTTTATAGTTTGTGTAATTTGCTACTTGAAAGGTCACTTGTTTTAAATGAAGAAAGTGCCTTGAATTCTTAAATATGATGAAAGGATTTTCCCAATTATTATTCTTGTTTTGAGCTTATTGTTATCTACGTACATTATGATTTAAAATGGGAACTTCATATTATTATATTGTTGGCCCTAGTAAGTGTCGGAGCCGATTCCTCGTCACTACTTCTTTGAGGTTAGACGACATACTTACTGGCTACATAATTTATTGTACTCATGCTACACTTCTGTACTTGATTGTACAGGATTTGAGGCAGGTGCATCTGGCTACCGGTCTGACGCGTAGACTTGATTCCCCAGCTTGAGACTTTTCGGTGAGCTTTCCACCGCTCTACAACAGCTAGAGGCTCTCTTATGCCTTTATTTTTTGTCTATTTATTTTCAAACAGTAGGCTAGTATGGTTTTGTATATTCTACTAGATTGCTTACATACTTGTGACATCGGGTTTTGGCGCACACACTAGTAGACTTATGATTTTGGTTTACTTACATGGTTATGATTCGTATTTATTGCTTCCATTTATTTATGTTAAAATTTCAAACTCCTAAATTTTATCAAATAAGGAGAAGCTATCACTTACTAAATTATTTGAAATGGGAATTCATTAGTTGATCAGTGTTGGCTTGCCTAATAATGGTGTTGGGCGCCATCACGGCCTATAATGGAATTTGGGTTGTGACAGTTAGACTCGTATCAAAATGGGTGTTCGAATTTTATGAGTTTGTCGGGTTTCGAGATGCGGGCCCGAGGTTGACTTTTTGGGTTGATTTTTTAGTTTTCACAAAAGATCGAAGCCTTATTATCCGAAATTTTTTCCTATGATTTTTATTTATGAGATTAAGTTATTTTGGCTATATTGGAGCCGTCTGTAGGTTTGTTTCACACGAGAAGGTCGTTTTAGAGTATTGATTTGGCTTCTTTGAGGTAAGTGTCTTACCTAACTTTGTGGAGG